AGGACGAAGTGGCAAAACTGCTTGGAGTAGGATTTATTAAACCTATCCAGCATCCCACCTAGCTCTCTAGCATCGTCCCAGTTATAAATAATAAAAAAAAAAGGGCCAAATTCGAGTGTGCGTCGACTTCAGAGACCCAAACAAATCTTGCCACAAAGATGAGTTCCCACTCCCAAACATAAACACCTTGATTGATTCAACGGCGGGGCACCACATGTTCTCATTCATAGATGGCTTCAACGGTTACAACCAGATCAAGATGGCTCTAGAGGATGCCCCCAAGACGGCATTTTGCACTCCCATAGGTAACTTTTTCTATACTGTAATGCCTTTTGGATTAAAAAACACGGGAGCAACATATCAGAAAGCTATGATAGCTATCTTTCATGATATGTTTCACAAAACCTTGGAGTGTTACATTGATGATTTGGTAGTAAAATCCAAAGAAGAGACTAGTCACCTTAAAGACCTCCAAAGAGTCTTTGAACGCTGTAAGAAATACAAACTCCGAATGAACAAGCTTAAATGCGTATTCGGAGTCACTGCCGGCAAGTTCCTTGGTTGCATCATTCATCGCCATGGGATAGACCCTGACCCAGCAAAGGTCGCCGCCATAAAAAATATGCCACGACCAACAAATCTAGACTAGTTGAGAACCTTCCTTGGTTGGGCATCTTACTTGAGACGGTTTATCCCAGCTATGGCCAAGATTACACAACCCTTCAATTCATTACTAAAGAAGGATGTCAGGTTCATTTGGAATGAGGAACACCAACAAGCGTTCAAAGGGGTGAAGTTGGCTTTAACTTCCCTTTTCTCCATGACTCCTCCTCATCCGACAAGGCCCTTACTCCTCTACATCACTTCCATGCTAAAGTCAGTCAGGGCTCTGCTTGCCCACGAAATCAACGAACTCGAACGACCCGTGTACTACATAAGCAGAGTCATCTAAGGGGTTGAGATCCGATATTTCCCCATTGAGTGGCACTGCCTCGCCTTAGTCTTCGCCGCCAAAAAGCTCCGTCATTACCTCCTTTCTTACCCCATCCATCTCATGACCAAGAGTGATCCCATCTGATTCCTTCTCACTAGACCAGCGCTCTCGGGCAGGCTAGCTCGCTGGATCCTATCATTAGCAGAGTATGACATCACTTAAAAAGCTCCCAAGGCCATTAAGAGTCAAGCGTTGGCCGACCTCTTGGCTCACTTCCCCAGCAGAGAACATGAGCCGGCCTTGAATGAACTGCCAGGAGATGAGTTCCAAGCCGCTGAAGTAAACACCAAAGGAGAATGGAGTTTGAGCTTCGATGGATCATCCACCTCTAAAGGGGAGGAGCTGGAATAGTCCTCACATCCCCAAATCAAACCGAAGTCAATTTGTCGTATAAACCGGACTTTAAATGCTCTAACAACGAGGTAGAGTACGAAGCCCTGATATTAGGGCTCATAGCAGCACTCCATCTAGGAGTAAGTCTCCTATCAAAGGCAACTCTAATTTGGTTGAACGCCTCCTTGGTTGATTTTTGTGGAGTTGATTCTTTGCTACCCAGTGCCTTTTTCACTAATTGAATTTTTTTATTAAATTGTACCTCAAAGGTGAATGTCATTTCTAATTCGTAAGTCTTGTGTTGATGCACGCGAGGCGAGGTTTTGTGATATGGCTAAAGTGAAAGAGGGAAGTGTTGTTTCCTGCTGCGATGCACAACAATCGCTAGCAGGTTCCTCTGGCATTTCCAAGTCGAAAGTGGGTAAATCCAAGAAAAGTCTTTTTAAGGCCAAGAAGGACACGGATCCCCCGAGCGTCCCTCCAGCGAATTACTGCTGTAGGGCGCCTTTCTTTGGTGGAATGGACTTATTTTGGGTGAGGGTGGACTTATTTGATGACAGTGGCGAGGGTCCAACTGATTTGCTTCTTGGTGGGGTTGAGCCAGAGAAAGGGATTGAGACTTTTGTTCCTTCTGAGTCTATTGTGCGTTTTCATGTGGAGAAGGGCACTTATCCTTATTCTTTTCATGCTTTTAAGAATTATACGGGGTCCAAAGATGACTTTGATGTCTGGAGTGCAACTATCTTTCGCCATCCCTCATATTGTGAGGTGCTTACTGGAGCTAAAATTGCTACTGCTATTTCTCAGTGTATGCGGATTAGACAGGAGCCATCTTGGCTAGAGTTCGCACTGTCACGTTGGAGTTCAAGCTCTCACACTTTTATTGAGCACTGGGGAGAGACGACCCCTACTCTGGAGGATATAGCTATTTTGACGGAGTTAGAGCACCTCATATCAACGAATCCTAGTACAGGAAGTTTGTCCCTTAGCCAGATGGCTATTGTTGCGAGGTTGGAGGAGGCCGTGGCACCAGCAGGAAAACTATTGAGTCGTTATCAGAATAAAGTGTTGATTACGCCTCGATCATGAAAACGACCAAAAAACACTTTTGAGGGATGTCTTCGTCACTGATTTCGAGATCTTAGCCATTAGGTCCAAGGAAATGTGGAGGATGGATTTATAGGTCCAAGAATGGAAGGGGAAAAGTGGGGGAGTGTTGAACATTTAGCTGCTTTCATTACCTATTGGCAGTCGCGGTACGTCTTGATGGGTAGGCCTCAGGATGGTGTTTGTCATGAGCTCTTTCCTCTTGCTGCGATTCTTGCCTCCGGCCGTCCGATTCTGTTGGCTCTTTTATTTCTGGAAAAGGCTATGTAAGAGGTTAAATATGTATTAGGAGGGTGTTGATCGTTCCAAAGGTCGATATGATGTTACTAGCTTCCTCCCTACTACCTTTCTGCAATTATTTTTCTATGAGAGATTTCCTAACTTGACCCCTATGGCAAGGGTATTTCCCATTGAAGAAAGTGAGCTGCATTCTGCTAGGTGGGCTGAGGTTTGTGTACAGGAGAGTTTGCCTAGCATTTTTTATTTTGAGGACAAGTTTGTTGCTCGTCCTTATGTCATGTCAATTTGTGGAGTATCTTCTACCATTGTCTACCGCCCAGATGATTGCGAGCTTGTTCTTGAACCGGATGTCTTATTTGGGAGATGCAAATTCAGTGATGGTTCTTAGCACCATTTCTGGGTATTTACCTTATTTTGTGGATGACATAAACAGTGTGGCAACCTATAATCCTCTAAGGGTCGCTCGACAGTTTGGTTTAGACTAAGGGGTTCCTTAACATCTTCCTTTCCCTGTGCCTTCTGCGGCCGATTGTATGCAATTGTTTGTGCACTCTTTTCTTTCAAAAGAATTACAGCGTCGGGGTCGAGTTGTGCTAGCAAGGATAGAATTAGTGGAACTACCCCTAGTTGGAGGAAGTATTGGAGATGCAATCTTACATCATTTCGGGATTTCTTAAGTAGCGATCTTGCGCTCGTCCATGTAGAGCTCATCCCGTCTGACGACCTTGAGTTGTGTATGGCTCGCGGAGAGCGGGGCTAGGCACATGACAAGCTCAAGGATGTACTCACACTCCCAACTCGCGAGCTAGGCACACGCTATGTGAAAAACTATAACCACCTTTAAATAAGCGAGCAACAGGGACACCACCTCCAATCTTAGCCCGCAAAGGAACCAATGCATCCCTAGAATTCGGTGCATCCAACAAAGAAGGCCTGGCACTAACCACGTCACATCCAACATCGTCTTCAACATCATCCCTTTCCCTTATAATTTCAAGACTCTGGTCTAAACCTTCTTCATCATCCTTCGAATTTTCTACATCATCCTCAGTACTCCCTGACCGTCTATAAGCATAAAGTCTTGCCTTGCTTTTACCCATCTCAGAAGTAGGAACTGTCGAAGGAAAATCACTAATTTCCGGAAGGCACTCCGTCCTCAAATCCATAGTGGTGTCACCAAGAACATCAATCCCTTTAAGGGGATCTGGAGGAATTGGGAGGCTACCATCAAGAGACACATCTTCATCAATGGGCAAGGCCTTACACTGCACCAATTTTATCCGACACACACCAGCTGACCCCTGCAAACAATACAAGTATTTTAATACAAACATATCGGAGACGCTACAAACACGCAAATAATTTCAAAATGCGAAATGTGAGTTTACCTGAGATGAATTGATGGCGTCACTCGAGCGACCCCTCGAGCAACCCAGGTTTTAGTAGGCGGATCTATACATTCGGCCTTTGAGGTACTCTCCTATGCACTGGAACAAGAACAGAAGCAGAGGGCGGCCTTTTACGCTTGGCACAAGAGGGACGGTCAAGAGAAACTATCTGGGCTTGCTCCAAAGCAATAGCCACCTCAAATAGGCGAGCTAGTGGGCTGAGCTCCTCCTTATTTGTAGCTAACGAGCCCTACTCTCCGTGAGCCATACACAACTCAGGGTCGTCAGACGGGATGAGCTCTACATAGATGGACGCAGGATTGCTACTTAAGAACTCCCGAAATGATGTAAGATTGCATCTCCAATACTTCCTCCAACTACGGGTAGTTTTGCCAATTCTATCCTTACTTACTAGCACAACTCGACCCCGACGCTGTAATTCTTCTGAAAGAAAAGAGTACACATACAATTGCATACAATTGGCTGTAGAAGGCACAGAGGAAGGAAGATGTTGAGGAACCCCTTGGTCTAAACCAAACTGTCGAGCGACCCTAAGAGGATTATATGCTGCCACACCGTATATGTCATCCACAAAATAAAGTAAATACCCAGAAATGGTGCTAAGAACCATCACTGAATCTGCATCCCCCAAATAAGACACACCTAGTTCAAAAACAAGCTCGCAATCATTTAGGCGGTAGGCAACGGTAGAAGATACTCCACAAACTGGCATGACATAAGGACGAGCAACAAACTTGTCCTCAAAATCAAAAATGCTGGCCAAACTTCCTTGTACACATCCTTCAGCCCACCTAGCACAACGTGGCTCACTTTTTCTATGGAAAATACCCTTGGCATAGGGGCCAAGTTAGGAAATCTCTCATACAAAAATAATTGCAAAAAGGTAGTAGGGAAGAAGCTATTAACATCATACCGACCTTGGGAACAATCAACACCCTCTTGATACATATCCAACCTCTTATATAGCCCCCCAGAAATAAAGGAGCCGACAAAATAGGACGGCCGGAGGCAAGAATCGCAGCAAGAGGAAAGAGCTCATGACAAATACCGTCCTGAAGCCTACGCAACAAGACGTACAACGACAGCCAATAGGTAATGAAAGCAGCTAAATGTTCAACACTCCCCCATTTGTCCCATTCCATTCCTGGACTTGTAAATCCATCCTCCACGTTTCCTTGGACCTGATGGCTAAGATCTCGAAACCAGTAACGAAGCCATCCCTCAAAAGTATTTTTCAGTCGTTTTCGTGATTGAGGCGTAACCAACACTTTATTTTGATAACGACTCAATAGCTTCCCTGCCAGTGCCACGACATCCTCCAACCTCGCAACAATAGCCATCTGGCTAAGGGACAAACTTCTTGTGCTAGGATTCGCTGATCCAAGGTGCTCTAACTCCATCAAAATAGCTACATCCTCCAGAGTAGGAGTCGTCTCTCCCCACTGCGTAATAAAAGTGTAAGAGCTCAAACTCCAACGTGACAGTGCGAATTCTAGCCAAGATGGCTCCCGTCTAATCCGCATACACTGAGAAATAGCAATAGCAATTTTAGCTCCAGCAAGCACCTCACAATATGAGGGATGACGAAAGATAGCTGCACTCCAGACATCAAAGTCATCTTTGGGCCCCGTATAATCCTCAAAAGCAGGAAAAGAATAAGGATAAATGCCCCTCTCCACATGAAAACGCACAATAGACTCTGGAGGAACAAAAGCCTCAACCTCTTTCTCTGGCTCAACCCCACCAAGAAGCAAATCAATTGGGCCCTCGCCACTGTCATCAAATAAGTCCACCCTCGCCCAAATAAGTCCATTCCACCAAAGAAAGGCACCCTACACCAGTAATTTGCTGGAGGAACGCTCGGGGGATCCGTGTCCTCCTTGGCCTTAAAAAGACTTTTCTTGGATTTATCCACTTTCGACTTGGAAATGCCAGAGAAACCTGCTAGCGATTGTTGCGCACCACGGCGGGAAACAACACTTCCCCCTTTCACTTTAGCTATATCACAAAATCTCGCCTCGCCTGCATCAACACAAGATTTACACATCAGAAATGGCATTCACCTTTGAGGTACAATTCAATTTAAAAAAATTAATTAATTAGTTCACAATTAGTGAAAAAGGCACGCTAAGTAGCATAAAATCAACTCTACAAAAATCAACCAAGGAGGTGTTCCCAGCTTCTCCCGCAGTACACTTGATCCTCCTCCTCACGACGGTGCACCTCGCAATACCCTTTTGTCCCTCGCTCAACTCCTAACACTGTTTAGGTCCTTTGCGTTTGATCCCCTCTCCCTCGCCTTCATACAGGTATGTTTCTTTCCCTCACTAATTTTCTAACCTCTCACCCTCACTGCTGCCTTTTTTTTCACCCTTCTCCCTCTCTAACTTTCTTCAATGTGACAAAAAAAGAAGAAAAAACATGTAGTGCCCGATACACAAATTCGGCCCAAGAAATTTTCAATTAGTTCACCATTAGTGAATAAGGCACTTTGGGTAGCAAGGAATCAACTCCACAAAAATCAACCAAGGAGGAGTTCAACACTTAAAAAAAAAAAATATACTCCCTCCGTCCCAAAATAATGGTCCCTTTTGGGAAATTTAACTTTTTTTGGTAGTACAATTATTACATTTGAAAAAAGTTGATTTTTCAAAATTATCCTTTTGATAGTACATTTTTTGGGAATATCAATGTCATAATTGTACTTTTTATATTGTTTATTAATTTAAAAGAAGGGCAAAATAGAAAATTTATATTATTTTTGTACTTGATTTTTGAAGAGGGACTAATATTTTGGGAAAATGAAAAATGGAATAAGGGACTAATATTTTGGGACGGAAGGAGTATATATATAGCTTCCCTCGCACACTTGATCCTATTTTGAGATAGGTCTCCTTCCCTCACATGAAGCAACCTTTCCCACGCAATTTCCCCTCACCCCTCGCACCAATCCTAATTTCCCTCACAGTTTCCCCTCGCTTCAATTCCCTAATTCATGAAATTCGTTTCTGGGGCTTCCCTCGCTTCAATTTTTTGTTACATAACCTACAAATTTTTTTCTAGCCTCCCTCGCCTCATTTTTTTAATATAATTCACAAAAATTCTTTTTTGGGGCTTCCCTCGCTTCAATTTTTTGTTACATAACCTACAAAAAAAAAATTCTAGCCTCCCTCGCCTCATTTTTTTTTTATATAATTCACGAAATTCGTTTTTTTTTTTTTGGAGGGGGGGAGGGGGCTTCCGTCGCGCTTCAATTTTTTGTTATATGACCTACAAATTTTTTTTTTTTGAGCCTCGCTCGCCTCATTTTTATAATTCATGAAATTTTTTGGGGTCCCTCGCTTCAACGCTTTTTATATAACTCGCAACATTTTTTTGGGTCATCTCTCCATTTTTACAACTCTCCAGATTAGAGCTCTACTCTCATAGCTCTCAATTCCCTCATAAAATTTTCCAAGTAAAGATCTCCACATTCTTAGCTCTCTAACATTTTATTGTAATAGTTCATTATTTATTTATTTATTTATTTATTTTAATTTTTTTTTCTAACCTTACAGCTCTCCAATATGTATTATTAATTTTTTAGACTCTCCAACAACCTTTTTTTTATTCAAGAAAACAATACCTTATATATATAAATATATATAAATACAATACATCTCAAATCAACTAAGAAGAAAACCATACCTTTAATAATTACAACAACCCCAACCGCGAGAGCTCCGCGAGTATCCCCTAGTCCCAATCTCGGCTCTTCTTTCTTCAACTTCTTGGCTCACTCCTCCCTCTCAAGCTTCACCCATGGCAATAACCCTTAGAAACCCAACTTCACTGCATCAAAAAGCTCAAAACCCCAGCCACGCACCAATTCTTCAATCAAGACCCAAACCCACTAGCGATCAGCAATAACCCAACCCTAGCAGCAAACCCAGAATCAAAACTCCACAACCAATAGCGCAAGCGACTGTTTTGCAGCACCCTTGCAACTCACTGGCACCATTCCCTCCTTTCTCTCTGCCAGCTCGTCTCTTTTCCCCTTCGCAACTTTGGAGTTCGATTCAAGACCTTGAAGCCAATAATACAACAATCTAGCCTCTCACAGATCGATTACGCACCACCCGTATGAGAGCCGTCGTGGCTCCTTCGCACCACATAACCCCTCTTGTGCTATTGGATCTCGCTTCGTAGCTCGACGGCGGCAACGTTTCTCCCCACCTTCGCGGCTATCGACACCCTTCTCCAAAAACCCCGAACCCAACTTAGATAGAATGAAGCAACCCATAAAAACTTGGCGTGAGAAGAAGCCTAACACTCAACTTGGATTAAGAGCCTATGAGAAACTCACCCAAACTCAAAAGAATAGTACAGCAAAACCCTAGAATTGCCAAACAGCTTTTTTTTTAATGGTACATTAATCTAAGAAACCCAGCTACGGGTAACCAAGTCAATAAAACACCCTTCTGTACAATGGGTAAAAGGAGCAGACAGAGCAAACCGGAAAATACAGAGTTCTTATTTGCTAATAAAAAATATATATATACAGAATACGTATTTATGCAAAAGCGCAAGCTCCCTATTCGAAAAGTTTGAACAAGTTTAAACTATACCCAAAATATCCACAAACTTTTATGAATTCATATGGAGTATAGGTTCTTTGTGGCAAAAATGCAATGTTCAAGCAGAACGAGGAGCTTAAAAAATATATATACATATACAGAATACGTATTTCTACAAAAACGCAAGCTCCCTATTCAAACAGTTCGAACAAGTTCAAACTATACCCAGAATATCCACAAACTTATATGAATTCATATGGAGTATAAGTTCTTTGTGGCAAAAATGCAATGTTCAAGCGGAACGAGGAGCTTAAAAATAAAATATAAAAAAAAGTATATATACACACATACTGAGGTTGTACTTTCCCAAGGAAAAATCCTTAAACCAATCAAAAATTCTCTTTGCTGGTCAAAAACATTAAAAACTGACTACAAAAATCTTAAACTCTCCAAAAAGTCACTTTGCTAATAGCTACACAAGTTATCACAAGCTACTATAAGCAGCTCCAAATTAGTAGCTATTAATGGTATGCTCTAAACCTAAAACTTCAATTGGTGAGTTGTCCTCTCCATAGATCACTCTTTTCCCAACGTTGTCATAAAGCTACAAAAGTCAACGTGAAGCTACAAAAGTAAGTAAATTCAATCCCCTTTTTCCGATGCAATCCCTTTATAAGAGAGCAAAACACAAACAGAAGCAAATTCGTACTCAATTGCTAACACTTCATTCTCAACTTCAACAAACCATTCACTTAAAAGATGGCTTCCAAAAGACAAAAGTGCGGAGACAATACTGTTTGGCGGCCAGTGAACAACGAGGCTTCAAACTCCAAAGGTTTAAATTACAGAATTTCCAACTCTCACTCTGGAGCTTCGAGCTCCACTCCCACTCGCCGCCGTCCAGCGTGCGAGTTCTACACCCAAAATAAGGGGATGGTACAAGCAATTAACACTGCCAAACAGCCACACGATACCGCCATTTTTCACTTGGTTAATGCCAAACCAGGAAGGCGACTTTAGTCTCCAGGAATCCACTTGTCAAGCAAGGCAGGTGCTGATTCCACATTTCGAGAGGATCCGAATCAACATCCTCTCGCAAAGACCGAGAGAAAGGGATTGGAGCACTACATTTCCATCATGTCAGCCTCGTCGGAAAACCCAAATGAAGATTTGGGACTTGGATGGGACATACAAGACTTTGCATGCCTCAACCTGGGAGAAGATAGTGCTTCCAGCAGGACCCTGCCAACCACTCGTCGCAACACCCCGCTTAACATCCTCTTCTTCAACACTGAGGGTGCTGCTCCTCCTAACTTCCTCCAACACTACATGCACCTACATTCTGGTGGACACTTCCACCTCGTCATCATTACAAACACGAAAAAAAGGGGAAGCGAGGCCCAGTTCATAAGCCAAATCAAGGATTATCCTAACACCAAGGCCATGGCCCCTCCTCCTAACGGCATGGAAAGGGTGATGGGTGGAATTTGGTGTCTATGGAACGAAGCAGAAATCTCTTGTGAAGTGGTGGAGATTCCGTGGAATCAAGTCATCGCCCAACAAACCCACATCTTCATCCGGCTGGCTCGCACCAAATGAAACTTAAAATGTAAACACTCCATGAGCAATCCAAATCCCTCCATTGTATCAAAAGCCTAATTTTAAACTATCTGAATACTTGTCTGCATGAGCTAATATTTTCAAAACTTTTTAACACAAGCATGTACAAATACTCTCATTAGCTATAAAAGCATCTGCACAGGGGGCATTATTGTGGGTACTTGTATCAAGCCCAATATGCGGCAAGCCCTACAGGTGCCACATCACCAAAACCCCACCCACCTGGCCGACCAATAAGGCACCACATGGGCATGTCATATGTTTGATACATGGCGAGCCCTACGGGTGCCGTGTGCCAAGGCACCACGCAAAATCAAGACTAAATGCTTAGCCTAAGCGGGAGCATACATATAAGCCCAAATATATCTAAATATGAAGAGTCCTGCAACAGGCAGCACCATGGCCCAGTAGGGCCCATGGTCCTTCATACTCCAAGACCAAACAACAATATAATCAACCCCCGGTTCACTTGGACTTGGATTGATAAACACTGGCTCTCCTAAATATTGAGATAGGCTTGCGGCCCATTCTCTTATTTGGTCGCTCGGGAGCGAGCCCTTAGCTCTCCTAAACACTGAGGTGGGCCCTGGCTCATTCACCTACTTGGATGCCTGGGTTGGGAGCAGGACCTAAGCACTACTGCTCAGGATCATCAGAGGATATTGGATTGGTGACTGAGGTCATGGGATCATCAAGATGGTTGTCTTCTTGCTAAGACAACTCCATCTTGACCAGGCTTGGAGAAAAGGCAACAACGACTTTACATCATGTCATCCGATGCATATAAGAAACGTTACTTTCCGCTTGCCATGAAACGTTGCTCTCCGCCTGCCGTCAAGCCACAGACGGCAGAAGGGCTTATATCACTTCTAGTAGAGTTGAGGAGAACGAGCCACCTGTCCAACAGTTTGCTTGGGCTCCAATACTCCTATGGCCTATATAATGTATTGTATACGCAGCAATACAACAACAACACAACTTCATAATTCTAACACACTAAGTCTCACACAAACATTCCTTCTCACATTCTATATTAGTGTTCAAGGTCCATCACTGCCAGCCTCTCTCTCTCCAAGCCTGCCTTGACCTCCTCCTCTCCACCTCCGGTGATCTCAGGCCATTGAAGTGCCCGCCATCTTCCTAGACTACCTCTAACCACACCTCTCACCCACAAAAACCAAATTGCATGTCTAAAGTTTAAGCTCTTTTATTTGGTGAATTTGATGGTGGCTCATTTTGTTGTCATGGACAAACATGCAAATATTAATTTTGGAGTTCATTAATTTCACATATTAATTTCCTCTTCAGTAATTCTACTGCTGATAATTATTACAACCAAAATTTCATGAAAAAAGCAAATGGAAGGAAGTAAGACACTATAAATGATGTACGGAAAAGGAATATTTGAATGTACCAGTGACATGCCATCTAGAAGCAGAATAATGACCAATGGCCTTGGATTTGGAAAGACAAATCTCAGCATCATGCCACTGTGACAAGCTTATGTAGACACAAGCCAGATCATGCCATGTTTCCAATTCCAAAGTTCTATCACAGTTTCCATTGCCCTGTCAAAATTGATACAAGCAAGAGTAAATAGGTGCAACAAATTTCTGTATTGAAAACAAGGTTTAAATGGGAAAAATAAATCTTAAAAAAAAATTCGGGTAGAAGCCAGTAGACCCACAAAGTGATTCAAAATTATCTTTCAATCAAAAAAAAAAAAAAAAATCAAAATTGTCTACCTCAAGTTAGAAGCAAAAGGAGATGACACTTGAGATCTGCTTGGGTTCTATTAAATAAGTGGTACCATCTTTAATATATATAGTTTTGATTCACATACCAGAAAACTTATATTAATCCTGTTTACTGTGATATAATTTACACACATTAGAGATAGTGGTAATGCCCCACAGCTGGGGCCATTATCTGATGAAGTGGAAACGAAGAAAAAAATGGCTGCTACTTGACATAAATAAGCCAAAGAAATCTCTGCATTCTGTATTCAGAGTCTGAGAACATCCCTACCAACACAATGAATGGGACCAACAATAGGCAAAGGCCTGCAGTGGTAATGCAGCAGAGCCTACTTTGAAAGCATGGACACACATCTTTCTCAATCGATTTTCATGGAAAAACAGAGGCTTAAATGAAAACAATTTTTCTAGGCTCCTGCCAAAGCTAGAAAATGTACATCCTGATGATCTTGAGAGAGCAAAGAGTTATTACACTGCAGTACGATAGAGAAGTCTTATCCTTCTAATGACTTTAAGAGAATGGCTCACCAATATCAATTTGACTTTTATTAGATTTAGTTTCCTACTAAACAAACATACATTGATTATCCAAAGTGGATGCAAATTACACTTGCTCACCCTACTTCCTACACCAAATTCCCTGCCCCACCACTACTCGCTTCTCTAATTGGAAGCCATTTTTTAGAATATCAGCCAATGCTATTCATCTCATACTATTCATTAGCTATCTAATTATGGCAAAACCTACATGACTGCATACACCATATCCAATTCCTACTACTCTTCTAACAAACCAATTAAAGACAAAACTCTAGAAGCAGTATTCAATTCCTTTCCAAAATAGCAATCTGATCGAATTGCCAAAAATAATGTAGAAGACACAGGTTTTGTTGACAAGCAATGTCAAAGGCACATATTCCTAAATTAAAAGTGTTAAAATTCCAATTTCATATTGTTCTGATTGATACTTCTGATCATTTATAAGCAGACAATTCAGCCATTAATTGACAAACCAAGTTAAAACCTCTTGATTGACATACCTTCAAATGCTTCTTCCCAGATCTGAAGCTTTTACTCTGAACTTGAAGAATAGCAAGAAGCTGAGTGTATGTTTCAATGGCATTCTTTAACTCAGCCTGAGCAATTTGGAGTTTAGCTTTAGTTCGCAACAATTCTCCTTGATCCCATTTCCCAGTCTGATCTAGAGCAGCATTTATGACAGTTTCAGCATCCACAAACCGCTTCTTCGCAGATAATATCCGAGCCAACAATATCCACCCTTTAAGATTAGACCCACCTTCTAATTTTAGTAAGCGCTTAGCATAATACAGTGCAGCATCCAACTTTCTCTGCTCAGCATTTTCGAGGCTGAGATGGTAAACAATATTGGGGTCTCTCATTCTTGTCATTTTCCCGGCACTTTCAAGAGCTTGGAGTGCCTCAGATTGTCTCTTAACCTTCTCAGCATCAGCCAGAACTGATCTAGAATGAGACAAAAGTGAGATTCCCAATAAACAGTTGGCAACACCTACCATAGGATCACATCTACCCGACAAGCTTTCAATGGCTTTGCAAGCAAAACTTATCCCTTCTTCCGCATACTTGGAGTTTTCCGTGCAAATCTTTGAAGCCATTAATGAAGCCAGAACACTTTTTGTATCCTCTCTATTACCCATCAATTTCCTCAGCAAATTCAAAGCAACCAAGTCCTCACTATTTCCATAATAACAGAGGGCTAGTGTGAGATAAATTTCTTTTCGATCCATGATCCCTGGAAGCAATTCCTCCACTTGATTAGCTAATGGCCGTAGTTCCCCTGACACAGATAAAGCATATGAAAGGTGATCCATAATTGATGGGTCCCAGTTGATTCTTTTGAGAGAAACTTTTCTTAATAGAATCATCAACAGAAGAATAGCCTCTTCGATATTGTTTCTAGGTACAAATGAACTGTCCATTTGGGAACGAAGGTTTGGAGGGATTGCTTCGCTTCCACTGTACAAAAGAAAAATGGCAAACTCTTTTTGAATCTTTGCTGTAGTTTCTACATCAAGGTTCCAGTGATGGAGAAGGGCCTGCCGGTATGACAAGATCGCTTCCTGAGGAGAATCAGCAAGTTTCCATAATTCAGGAAGCAACTCAACTGCCTTGTTTAGAGTCTCCTGCAGTTTACCGTCAACACCAAAGTTTTCAGGCAGGCCTTCTGGTAATGAAGATTCAACAATGTCCAGAATAACTTTGCATGATTTGGCAGCTTCTGCAAAAATAATTAAAAACATTTATTAGCCAAAACAATAACAATTTCATTGTTGTATATTGTTTGTAAATACTTTGTCCCTCCCCTTCACCTACTCCACTACACACTCCACTTCACCTACCTCCACTTCACCACACACTCCACTTCACCTAACCCACTATCACCTCCACTACACCTACTACCACATTTTCTTCTATATATATAGATTGTATAGGAATTATAATTTATCAATCTTGTAATACATCAATCATAAACTCATCAATCAATAATACATAAATTGTTACATGTGGCATGCATGCATGTGTGCACAATTTCAAGGAAAGAAAAAACCACATCCACAACCAAAACCATCAGGACATTACCGAAAATCCAAGACCTTTAGGCTATGTTTGGATCATGGGTTTGGAAATGAAAAGCGAAAGAGGAGATAACTGTGAATGAAATACAAGTAAATTTTTTCTCCAATTCCCTTTCTGTTTCCAAATCCCTATCCAAATCCATGATCCAAACATAGCGTCAAATGTAAACAAAAACTAACAGCCTAAGCCTTGGGCAACAGAAAGTAAAAACTTCACCAAGAAGAGGCATACAATTTATTAGAAAAAGCTTTAAAATGTCATAAGAAGCTCATAGGTAAAACCTATCGTAATTGAGATAGCAATATCATAGGTAAAAAAGCACTACTTTACAATCTAAAATATTGTTTTGAGATACTGCATCTAATTAAACAGCTAGAAACAGTAAAGAATAATAAACCAACAGGTCAACAATGTTGTTAACTACAAAGAAAAGCCAGAGACATAAAGTAGGATAGGGCAAAGGTCTTATAATTTGGAGAAAGAATAGGGCCACTTTTGTATATTTTTTCATCTCCCTCAAGATTTTAGAAACATGATTCTTGCATGATTATTTTACAAATGAAAAGTAATGACAAAAAAATGGGAACAGCAGATTTGTTTTTATGCTGAGATAGAAAATGTAGTTCTCCTTAGAAAAAGGTACCAACCACAACTTTTTGAGATTCAAATAAGTTCAGAGTTCATACTTGAAGGAAAAATAGGGGAAACTCCAGAGGAGCTTCCTAAAATGATATTCAAAACTTCACCAGTCAGAGAAATTCAAACTGGAAAATAGTGAAAGTTGAAGAAAAAATAGATGAGATTGGAAGTAAAAACAACATATTCAACCATACAACATACAACTGGAAAGAATATAAAAAACAACAGCAATCTATCCATTAAGTACCTCACCTCTATACCTCCCGAGATCCTGCAATGACTTTGTTTTGAGATAGACTGCTTCCAAGAGTAAACTAACAGCATGTATTGACATCGGTGGGGAAAAACCCCTTTGTGAGCGTCGCCTATGGCGTTCTTTTTTAGCAAGGGCAAGTTTCATCTTTGGAATCACTGCAGCAATATCTATGCCTTCAAATACATGCAAGGCAGCTTCAATGTTTCCCTTTTGATATTCATATCTTCCCAACAATGCTCTTGCTTCCTGGAGAATGATTAATCCGTAGTCTTACAAAAGTGACAACAAACCCTTGCTTTCAAGCATTTAATTAAGGAAAGCAACATATTTGTGTGTATATATAATATATAAATCAGTATGGTTAAATCAAGAATTTTCTACGATTAGTGTCATAAGAAGAAAGATATTTATAACAACCAAATGCATAGGTGAGAGGTAAAGGTGACACCAATTGAGAAGAATGTAAAGATAGTTTACTTTGAAAAAACATAGAAGATCGATACTCAAAATGAGCAAAGCTTCAAAGTGAAAAGTTTAGACAAACCAACCTCATAATTCAAACCACCAGTCTCCCGCAGAGAGGATTCAGCTTCTTCAATATTGCCGGTATCTGGCTTCTGTCTAATCTCACCAGCATGAGACGAATACCCATTCTCTGAATAATCCTTGGTTGCAAGGGATTCAGATGAAGGAACCATTTCATCTACTCTTAATTGCTCTCCTGAGCAGAAACACTGTGTGATCTTCCCCAACCTGCGTCTTATCCGAATCCTCCTCTGCTCTCTGATCCAATTCTTACTCCTCATTCTGTTTCACCTCACTTGTAATTCTTCAACAACCCAAATAGACAGCAACAACAATAACAACATACAAAATCAGACTTTTTTATGACATTATGACAAACCCTCCATGAAATTTTCAAGTTCAGTTACTGATATCATATGACAATGAACTAGGAAAAAAAGGCCCAGTTCAACATATGACAACATTTGCATATGAAACTATTAAACAAATTATAACTGCCAACTAAACCAAACCAAACCAAATTATTTAATGGTGATACCCCCATTAAAAAACAAATTGATCAAAGAATTAAAAATGTTTAAGCCCAAAACACAGTTAGGTAGTCAGAGTCAGACAGACTTCCAAATAAACACTTGAAAATGACAATCTAACAAGAATTCCCAAAACCCATTTCAGAACTGAACATGTATCACTAAACTTCAACCCTAAATAATCTAAGCACAAAAAATTCCAAAACATTCACATACCAAAGCATAAAAATGACAATTACAGACCCTGGAAACTAATAGGCGGACAAAACCCAACACACCAATCAATTCCAATTAAAAATTATCAAAACAAAAATAAGTAACTACCTTTTACAGTTCCGCAACACATCAACAACAGTACCCATCTCTTTAACCAGTCAATGCTTCGTTTATGGATCCTCTGATCAATCAAGAATCTAATAAAGCTCCAAGAACCCTCACTTTCGTTTCCTTTTCTTTTCTTTTCTTTTCCAATGAATTTTCCTTTTCTTTTTCCTGTTTGTTGGTCGGCTTAGGATTCCCTCAATATATCAATCTTGGGTGTTGTGCGTGGAGTTGAGAACTGAAAACAAAAGATGGAATTTGAATGGAATCGTGAGAGAGAAGTTTGGACTGGTCGATGATAACATAGTACGTATGAATGTTAATATTGCTAAATTTTATTGTGGAGTAGGGTGTAATTTGGGTATTGGAAAACAAATTTGGGGCTATTTTCGAATTCTATTAAACGCCTGAGGCCAAGTTTCTGCATTAAATGCGTCTCAGGCAATTTGTGCTATTACCGTAATAAAGAGCTCGTTTTACAATTGATTTTTTTAATTAAAAAGTTAAAAAATTATTTCAAAAGTTAAAAAATTAATAATTTATACTAAAAAATTAAAAAAAAAAATTCTTTTAATTTTTTACACATCTTTTCGTAAAAATTCAAAAAGTCATTCTAAACATATTGGGTTCGTTTGGTTTGAATTTCCCAAAAATTTTTGAGAAAATTTCTCTACAGTGGAGTTGAGAACTGAAAACAAAAGATGGAATTTGAATGGAATCGTGAGAGAGAAGTTTGGACTGGTCGATGATAACATAGTACGTATGAATGTTAATATTGCTAAATTTTATTGTGGAGTAGGGTGTAATTTGGGTATTGGAAAACAAATTTGGGGCTATTTTTGAATTCTATTAAACGCCTGAGGCCAAGTTTCTGCATTAAATGCGTCTCATGCAATTTGTGCTATTACCGTAATAAAGAGCTCGTTTTACAAGTGATTTTTTTAATTAAGAAGTTAAAAAATTATTTTAAAAGTTAAAAAATTAATAATTTATACTAAAAAATTAAAAAAAAATTCTTTTAATTTTTTACATATCTTTTCGTAAAAAGTCAAAAAGTCATTCTAAACATATTAGTTTTTTTTACATAACATTTTAGTCAAAAAGTCAAAAAATTACTAAAAAAACTTGTCCTCAAACGAGACCCAAATATATTTAAAATTTGACAAACGTTTATTACGTTTTTGTTTTTGTTTTCGTTTTTGGAAATTGCATTTATGTTGAGTGGAACAATATCATTTTTATGGTATTACATTACAGGTAATGATAGGAATATCAAATTTTTTATTAAATAAATAATCAAATATTTCATATGGGTGTGAGGTTCATAAGTTTGTAGATCACATACCTATACGAGACCTATAGCATTTTCCATTACAATCTGGTATAAGTTACCATCTATAAATAAATAAATATGGTGTAAGTTTTTGGGCAAACTTCACTTTATCAATGTGATTTTAGTCATGTGCAATTTACCCCTAATATTTGAAAATGACTACATAATCACTTGTGGTTTGTGGACGGAAGTATACCATTAAGCACATTAACGATTTAATAAAAAAGATTAAAATATCTCTGTATTTTCGTCATTTGTTTTGAAGGTAATGCACTTTAACTCCTATACTTTATTCTATGGGCGATTTATCTCTTTGAAATTTAAAAATGAGCATATAACCTCTTATGTTTCCCATGTGTTTTACATTTGTTGTTAAGTTGGACAGAATATTTAATGGTGTTCAATGGTATACTTCAGTCCACAAATAACGTAAGGATTATGTAATAATTTCTAAATATTAAAGAAATAAATTATACATAATCTAAACTACAAGAGGGTAAAGTAAAATTTGCCCTAAATTTTTTCACCATTGGGTGCAAGTCTTTTTTTATGTATTAAACTTATACAAGAAAAGATTATACTTATAGTGCAATCATTTTAAAACAATCCCATTTATTTGCCCGACACACAAAAAAACAAAAAAACAAAAAAAAAAGGAAAAAAGAATAACTAAGAATTAATTGTACGGTTCCACCAAATCTACAAAAAAAACAAGCCCCCGGCCCCTCAAATGACATATCTTAATTTGGAAAGAATTCTATCTTAGTTGCATTTTAGTGCGTGTGTTTCATGCCTAAATTCTCATCTCTCTATTCTTTCCAAAACATATCAAACAATTGAGATTCTATCACTATCACCACCGATGATTACCACAGACCACCATCGACAGACCGATCACCTCTTCGCTCTTGTGTCCTTGGCTTGCAAATGCCAACCGATCCTTTGGCCCTCTGTAGTGTCTTTCCTTTCCAATGGTGACCTTCTCAGCAGCCCAACCTAGGTAAGCTTTAATATGAACTTGGAACTAAAATCTTTAACTTCTATTAATGAAGGATATACAATTGAATGAATGTTGTGCGCTTTGAAGCCTCACTTGATTAGGATAATAATTCTTGGGTTCTACTTCTTTTTGTGTGATTTGGTCATGTATCTGTAAATTTTTTATAGATTAGGTCTATTTGGTTACTGGGTGGTTTTGTTTGGGTTGAATCTTTTTTTTTTTTTTATCTCATTGTTCTTCCCATCTCTTTCAACGTAGTCATTTCACTCTGTGACACTCTAATTGTTTAATTAAATACCCCACAGATATATATATATATATATATAAACATAATTATGGTAGTATGTAATAATATATTATTAAATAAATAATAATAAATAAATAACATCGAATTTGACATTAAGTTATCAAATATGGGATTAATACAAATATGGAATTATAATACTAGTTTGACCAAATTAGAATTAAAGATAATAAATAAATAAATATAAAAGTAAGAGTAAATAAATAATAATAATAATAGCGAGTGTGGTAGTAAAATAAATAATAGATTTTCTATTGATATGCGATAAAGTGTAATTTAATTAGGAATTAATTTGTTTATATAGTTATGTTAGACAATTGGGCCAAAGTGTAATTATCATAAATATTCATTAAGATAAGTATAAATCCATGGTAATTTATGATCAAATCTGGAGAGGGATTTGAGCTGTGCCACGTGTTGGCCTCAAGGTGCTTTTACCTCCCTATAAATAGGAAGGAGTTGATCAAGATATGTGGAAAGAAAAGGAAAAAAGAAGAAGAGGCACGCAAGATACTGGAGAAGGTTGTGATAGTAGAAAGTAAGGCGTGATAGTAGAAAGTAAGGCTAAGGGTCAATATTAAGGTGAGCTATATTATACCTTGAGTTACCATAATATATTTTACATATGTTTTGATTTACCATAATTTATTTTATTCAAATTATGTTTTATAAATTATATTAATATTTCAATTACGTGAGTTATTTTCTGAACTCTATTTATTTAAAATAAAACCAATGAATATGTTTGTTTAAATTTTAAAGAATATTTGATTATGACCTTATAAATAATTATGTTTTGTAAGTACCACCACGGAAGTCCCACGCCTTGGGGGACTTAAATAACCATTGGTCTCTGTTTGGTCACTTTGTGGTCCTCTGTTTGTCATGGATCCATTGAACTTTGTTCTGATTGTCACTCATGTGACCTCTGTTCTGTTATGTTTGGTATCGTGGTTATGGTTATTTATTTATATAATTTCTATATTTCAATTTCTGCCACCTTGAATAAATTATTATTTCAAATTAAGTTATGTAAATGTTTTGGCTTAACTAACTATCCATGGTTATTTTGTATTCCCTATACTCTTAGCATAATATTTCCCACTCTACTGTGTGCTTATAGCTGTTACCCTTTTCAGGTGATGAGATATAAGGAAGACCCATAACCTCGCGTAGTGGAACCTGTGCAAGAAATTGATGTGGATCCGTTAATTTGTTTTTCTTTTTTTTTCTTCCTGTCATTTTTTTATGATGTCCAGTCGCTGCATAATAAAATAATAAAAGCCTATGGATGTACGTTTTTTTTTTTAGTAGAATGAAGTAACTTTCTGTTTAATTATTTTTATTTCCATTTGCCTCCACATGCACCGTTTAATTTGCTACGATTAGAATAAGTTAGTAGGTTAACCCTACGCCTTTGGGATTGGGTCATGACAAAGGTGGCATCAGAGCAATGGTTCATTCAAAAAAAAATGTTATTTTATTTTGATCAGAAAGTTCGAAAAGTTATAAATAAAACTATTTAGCTAGATAAACATAATAAAATAAAATAAATAAAAATAAATATTTACCTGCGACGTTATTCATTTTATATAAAATCTCACATTTCTTCTGGTGATGTAGGAATGTCCGAGATTAATCTTAACGAGGCATTTTGGGAGGAGCTCGAGGCCATTAATTTGGATGAGATTTTAGCAGAGCACCCCGCCTCCGCCTCACCTGAAAGATGGGGAGATTCATATGATATAATTAGATGATTGCATCCAGGCCTTGCCCAATTGATGGGTCAGCCAATCTCTATACAGGCTGATCCTACCGATGTCCCACAGTTACTATGGAGGCAAAGCCGTGCCTATACGCGCGGATGTTTTCTTGGACCCACTAGTGTCCTCGGCGTTGCCCCGGGACATGACCGCCAGCACTATATCATAGGCCCTCTATGTGACAACCCTCACCACTGTTTACTACTAAACTGAGACTAAGCATGTTAATTGACTAATTGAATGAAAGTCTGAACTGGTTGATTGAGTATATGAGTTTAATTGCATTTCTCTCCGTTTGACTGGTAAATTATCTGTTCATGTTCTGTGTTTAAACTGCGAATTGAAGGCCTTATCGGCGACCGAATTAGAAATTGATTAATGTTTTATGATCATTAGAAATTATGTGATTTAATGGTATATTTATTTGAAATGCGATTTGGTATGATTAAATTAGATTAAAATAAGCTAGATTACAAGAGTTGGCCCTATTTACCAATTTCTCACCTAGTGAATTAATCTAGGCAACTCCTCTCCACTTCATACACTCTTGACTAAACATTTCATCAGCCCATTTTGAGAGTCACAACCGACTAGAGAGAGAGAGGGTAGGAGAAAATCTTGAGTTCTTGAGAATTGGCTTGGAGATTGAGAGAAATTGAAGGGATTCTTGCATATTTGTGCTTCTACACTTGAATTGAAGACATAAGGTAGAGAAATCACTCTCTTAATTGTGTATCTAAGTTGTATCTAGCATGGATCATGGTAGTTTAGAGAGCTAAGTCTAGAATTGGCTCTAGTATGTTGTGTTGTAGCTCGAATCTTGTATGCATGTTTACATTGTTGAGTTTGGAGGTTGGATTTCATGGGAATCTTGCATGCATGTTCATGTTTGTGTTAAAATCCATGAATTCGTCTTGTCTTTGAAGAAATTGACTCACTTGAGCATGTATT